GTGAGATTGGTGATGGTGGTGGGTGGTTTTTTTGTTTTGTTTTGTTTTTTTAACACTCTTAAATTTTCTTTCCTGAGAATTCAGTGTCCTTGACCTCGACAAATGAACTGAGAACCCTGAACCCGGGGAGATAAACGAAGCAGACTTGTCAGGAATATAAATGTGGCTGCACCAGTATCCTATCGGCAGACCCCACTCGACAGGCAAGAAAGACGCGGCAAAGGCAACCTACGTGTGTCCAAGAGAAAGCAAAATTGGACAAGCACACTCCCTCCGCCGTGCACTGTCCCCTCCCGCCCAGGCCAGGAGCAGGTGACCAGGACTTCATCACTAGAGCTGCTGCACCAACTGAACATGTGCAAATCAGCGGGGTGATATGGATCCCCTGGACTTAGGGGAGATAGTTAATGCACTTACCGAGTGGCTGGCAACTATTTTTGAGATGTTATGAAGGAAGAGAAAGTAAAGAAAGACAGAAAGAAAATGAAGTAGATAACTTAAAAAAAAAAATGACCAAGGCAAGCTTAATTCCTAACACATCTTCCCCCACTACACAAGCACAGACATAACTTTAAAAAGTATAAGCACAGACTCAGATGTAGAAAACAAGGTTCATTCGCTTGAGACAAGGCTCGCTGCTTGTGTTTGCCTTTATTAAACACAAGTACACACAGGGCAACACTATCAGGGTGTCAGCAGAGGGGCAGGGGGCCGCCCTGGAGTGAAACACTCACGCTTCTGCATCCACAGCCTTGGGCTTCTCTGGGGCATCCTTTACCTCTGCCTGTCTGCAAAGTTTTGCTGAGACAGGTGACTGCCTCATTTGTGAGTCTGGCCCAGGGAGACATGGATCTTGGCATCACCACAATCCATATACAGTGGCTGCTCTGTCCTGGGGAGTGGTTCCAAGGTTTATGACAAACATCACATTTGGACTCATTCTGTGCCTCGAACTCAGCTCCCTCTGGATGAAACGGTAAGGGGTGAAGAGGCAGTAATCTTGGAGAGGTCTTTGCAATGTACATGCGGACCAAGGAACTCCACCTCTAAAAGGAAGCTTCTTCCAAGCTGGGGATGGCAGAGTCTGGCGCCGAACTGCTTGGAGCTGACTTCCTTCAGTGTTGTTGGGTCTCAGGGTTCCTGAATGATGCCCAACCAGAGGTCTTGGATGGCGACCCCTGGAGAGAATGGCTACACACTAAAGGTTGTACGGAGAAGCCGGGAGTAATGCACACCCACACGAGGCAAGGGAAACCCATCTGAGGGATCCCCAGGATGAGAGCTGTGAAAGCAGCAAGAGCCTGAAAACTGGAGGGGGGGAGTGGAGAGCAACTGGCAGGCGATCTAGCAGCAGAAAAAAAGATATTAGAGCGGGATGAGCACTAGGTGTTGTATGTAAGTGATGAACCACGGGAATCTACCCCCAAACCGAGAGCACACTTTACACACGGTATATTAGCCACTTTGACAATAAATTATATTTAAAAAAAATTCTGAAAACATCACAACTAGCTGTTCATACCATAAGCATGAGAGGAAAAAAAAAGATATGGGGGCCGAGGAGGGACATGATGGTGTCACTATCCACCATCTTTCATTGGAGCATCTCCAAGCACATTGAAGGCAGCAGCTCTTTAATCCTCCCAGAGGAGGATGCCGATTTGAAGGGTTCTCTGAGGAGCAGGAAATAAACCAGGATTCCTGGGCCGGTCTCCTATTTTCCCGTCCACACCCTTTATTGTGAAATGTCCAGCCTAAGGCAAGTGAGGAGCGAGGGTGCAAATACGAACCAAGAGCCTTCAAAATAGTTGGACTCTTTCCCTTGGTTCACTTGACTCCTAAAAATATATGCCAAGAAAAAAATTATTTTGAGAGACAATAAAAAAGCTTTTGTCCAGTAACATTATTCATTATAGTAAATAGTTATTAATAAATGTTCAATTATGGGGGATTTGGCTAAGTGCTGAAGATACAAGCCTAACATGGGATTATTAGTTAGCAAATTACTTAAATGATATCTGTAAAAACATGGAAGTGATATATATCTGTAAAACCTGTACTATTTTTTGAAGATTTCATTTATTTATTTAAAATATATTTTTTAAGTGTTTATTTTTTTTTAAAGCATTTCTTCATTTTTGAAAGGCAGAGAGAGACAGAGCACAAATGGGGAGGGGCAGAGAGAGAGGGAGACACAGAATCTGAAGCAGGCTCCAGGCTCCGAGCTCTCAGCACAGAGCCTGACACGGGGCTCGAACTCACGGACCGCGAGATCATGACCTGAGCCGCAGTCGGCCGCTTAACCGACTGAGCTACCCTGGCACCGCTAAAAAATTTTTTTTGAGAGAGAAAGCAAGCAAGCAGGGGAGAGGCAGAGAGGGAGACAGGGAATCAAAGCAGGCTCCAGCCTCCAAGTTGTCAGCACAGAGCCCGATGTGGGGCTCGAACCCACAAACCGTGAGATCATGACCAGAGCCAAACTTGGACCCTCAACCGACTGAGCCATCCAGGCATCCCTAAAGATCTTATTTTTAAGGAATTTCTATACCCAACATGGGGCTTGAACTCACGACCCTGAGATCAAGAGTTGCATCCTCCACCTACTCAGCCAGGCACCCCTCTCTTACTGTACCATGAATATTAAAATGCAGAACACTGGTGGTGTATGTGAGTTATGTGGATGGGGCAGGGGTATGGCTGCATGCCTGGGTATTTTGTTTTCCTTGTTTTTAAAAGGTGAGTAGAAAATTTCAAATAGTCTGAAGTAAAAACCAAGTCTTCCACCCCAGCTGCCCCTGGGAGAAGAGACAAGGCTACTCCACATCATGGCGCCTGTACAGGCAAGATGGCTCTGAAGCACCACTTGGTGAGTAATGAGAAGTGGCTATTTCTGGGTGGTAGGGTTACAGCCAAGACTTATTTTTCCCTTCGCGTTTTCCGTAATTAGTTGTTAATGTAAAATCCTCTCAGACAAGAAACCAGCCTTCTATCCTCTGTCCCCAGGGGAGGGGCCCACCACCCACAGGCCGCGGCCAGTGGGCGCTGGGGAGCCCCACTGTGACCAGCTCCCTGCCTCGCCCGTTCCAGTGAGGTCTTTAAGCTCTGTGGCTCGTGAGTGTCGTGCATGAAGTAGTCAGCTGGGCAAAAAGAAAATAAGCAAACTTCACACAAAAGGGAGGAATGCTTCAGTCAACACTGAAAAAGGGCCCTGGATTGAAACTCTTGATAACTATTCTCACCTCATTTGAAAATCAGCATTAGCTACCAAAATGTAAAGTATTAGTTTTATTAAAATGCAAATCAATCAACTAATCTGTCTTTCTAGTAACAGTTGAATTGCAGTATCCGTGTCAATTAAAATAGTTTCCAATTTATTCTTGGCTGGAAGGAGGGTGGTCTTCTGAATTTTAAAATGCAAGCCTCTCTTTACTGAAAATTCTGTTTTCTCATCTCTCCCGATTTTAATTCATTTTAATTAAGCACGTTGGGTTCCAAATATTTTGCAGTACCTGTTTAAATCTTTTCCTTCATCAGGTCAAGAGTGACTGTGACAAAGATTCCATCTCTTCAGGAAATGGAGGTTAGCAATCGGCTCACTGGAAGCACGGTGTTAAGAGGTCATTTATTGCTGTTCTAATGTGCATGATCCAGACTCCTCAGGCTAGAGGGACAGGATTGGATGTTCTCTATTTTAAAAAGTGATCATTTTGAAGGGAGTAACTGTGGGGGAACTCTATTCCTGTTGATCTTTTGGGTAACTAGAGGCACACTGAAAATTAAACATTTCCCTGACAGTCAAGCCCAAGAGGTAACTAGCAGACAAGAGAAACACATCACCATGTACCAAGGTCCAATTAATGTGAGATGGAAAAACCCTCCTCCCCGCAATCTGCCCCATCCTGAGCTCAGCAGACACTCTGATGTTAATACTAAACTGTGATGCAGATTCCAATGAGGACTCACTTCATTTGGAGCCCAGCCTTTAGTGGTCCCGACACCACGGCAGTGATACGTGGGGATTCCCAGGCACCGAGATCGGTCACCTGCTTTTGACATTTCAAAACAGTATCAAAACCTGACGTTACCAACAGTGACCACTCATGCACCACAACTGAATGCATGCTTCTTCTCAGTTTCATAGCGCGACATGAAGATGTGGGCCCAGGAGCCGGGAGGTGGTCAGTTGCGGATGCCAGCACGCACGCATTACTTATGCAAGATAATCTTCATTGCATATTGACCACAGCATGCCAATAAATCCCCCTTATGGGGATTTAATTTCCAGCTTTTGACCTCTGGATGAAAAACAAGTGAATCATTTCCTCCTGCTAGATTTACACCAGAGCTGATCTCAATAAAGTGACTTAGGAATGGAGAGAATGGAAAAGGGCTCTGGAAGAATCTTTATGGGTAAAACTAAAAAAGAAGGCAGGGATTTGTATTTGCAACAAAGAAGCAAATACCTCCATGTTACAAAGTCTCGTGGGCATAGTTCATAGGTTTTTGGGGATTCCTTGCTCCTCAGAGCCATGATCAATCACCAAATGTTATCCACCCCGAAAGCAGCATTTCAGCCCAGAATTACTGCTCCTGTGAGGTTTTGTATTGCGAGAGGAGGCTGACTAGAAAAAAAAGTGAAAACCCTCCCAACAAACACCATCACCACTCTAGAGCCCTCAGTCAGACTTACTCTGCTGCTTAAGAAATCACATGTGGCAGCGCGGCAGTGACAATACTCTTTATTTGTGATGGTGAAAGGGCGTGGGGCACCGGTCCTTGGCAGACTGGGGCAGGGAAGACATGGGACATTTGGTTCCAGGCTTCCCGGGACTTAGCAGGCATGTGCTCTGCACGCACCCCTTCCTGGGCCTTCCCAATGTGCTCGACCCTGCTGGCCGATGGCTTCCTCCACTCGGGGCTCCATGAGGAGCCGACCTGGCTAAGGCGCCGTGGTGTTCAGAGGCCCTGCCTCAGGTCCTCAGCGACAGCGATGGGCGCTGTCAGTCCCTCTGGCCTTCGTCAGGAGGGCGGAGCTGCCCAAAAAGAGATCGATACAACTCTGTCCTGGAAGACAAACAAAACAAACTGGTTAACTTTGCAAGGTTAAACAAGAACTAAGAAGCTGGGAAATGCCCCAATCGGTTTCTTCAATTGCAAACACAGCAGTGTAATTAAAAATGCATCCCACAGCCCTTACTCACAAATACAAAGGAAGGAAGAACCTAGAAGCGCCGATCAAATAGTAAAATATGTAAATAGTCCGGTGTGGCTAGATACCTGTCTCCAGGGAATGAGTTTTCTATAAGTTTGCCCTTTACAGACAGGCTCTTCAAGTAAGAAAACAAGATTGAATATTTTAATAGGATGTATGAGACCGCCGCACGACGAGGAGGATTCAATCAGACATGGGATGTAGGGGGATATGATTTAGTTTTCATACATTTTCTTGGACTTGGAAGTACTTGAAAAACAATGAAAATGACCCAGCAACAAGATTCCAATTACTACCACATGTGCAGCTGTTTGGTGATAGAAGCAAGGCTCTTCCCCACTCCCCTGGCCCCTTTTATCTATTTTCAATCTAATAAATAATTCGATTGGCTAATTTATTTCTAGAGCTGGGTTTCGAAATTTAGAAAATGATAGTATGCCAGGGTCTTGGGTCCTTGAAAATAAAGTATCACTGCCGACCTCTGTTTCTGTTATCAAATGCAACACACATCCAGCCACTTGGCCAAAGCTACGTGTCAAGGCCTGGCAATCTAAAAAGGGGTGGGTTTGGGGTGGGGTCCCTCCTGCCATTGTCACAGGAGGTCCAGGACACTTCCCCTGTGGACAGAGAGCAGGTTCTCCCTGCGGGATCTGAGGAGGGTGGAGAGCCACGGAGGGAGGAAACGCGGCCCGCCTAAGGCAGGTGACCCACGGCTGTACTCCGTGTGACGGCCCGGCCACTAATGCTCACGGAGGGACAGCAGGCACACAGGGCTGAGGTCCTGTATCAGTGAGGGAACGACCCCAGAAGAAAGCTGTGCCTGCTGTTTCACACTCTCGAGATCGAACCATAAAAAGACAGCCAGCTGTCGTGGCTAAGAAAACAGGCTTTTACAAGTGGCCTCATAATCGGAGAGCCATCTTCAGCAAATCTGCTTTTCAAAACAAAACGAAACACCAAACCACCACCCCTCAAACAGCTGTGCGGGTTCAGTAAGACTTCAACACAAAAACTTAGGAGTCTGTTTTTGAAGTCATCTTGCTGTGGCTGTGGTTGTGGGCGGGAACAGAGGTACGATCGTTAGAAAACCCAGCAATAAAAATAGCATATTAAAACTTTTTTTTAAAAAAAGGAAAGATCCGGGGCGCCTGGGTGGCGCAGTCGGTTAAGCGTCTGACTTCAGCCAGGTCACGATCTCGCGGTCCGTGGGTTCGAGCCCCGCGTCGGGCTCTGGGCTGATGGCTCAGAGCCTGGAGCCTGTTTCCGATTCTGTGTCTCCCTCTCTCTCTGCCCCTCCCCCGTTCATGCTCTGTCTCTCTCTGTCCCAAAAATAAATAAACGTTGAAAAAAAAAAATTTAAAAAAAGGAAAGATCCTAAAGAAGAAAGTCCAGTGGCCCAGAATGTAGCCAAACCCCATCATACTGGGGACCATAGTGTGGGCAGAGGTGTGTGGCTTAGGAAACCGTGGGTCTTTAGTATTATCACAGGAATCTCCCCCTCACCCTGAACCACCAGCCAGCTCTGAGGCCTACAAAGGCCTCAGATTGACCAGGGGCTCCATTGTTTCTTTTGTTCCTGTGCTTTGTACACCTGCCTGCTTGGCCTGGCCAGCCGGAGAGCACAAGGCTGGAGGGCGCTTCTGACCAGATGCAAACAAGAGGCAGGCAGCCTCGCTTCCAAAGGCAGTGGCTTCTGAATCACCAGCTCCATCACATGAAAGATGCTTCCTCGTATCGCACCATGGCCTATTTGCCAATAAGCACAAGCCTCTCTCGCCATTTCAACGCAAAAAATTCAACGGCATTAAGGTGGGGGGGGGGGGGGAGCGGCCACGACAGAAAGGATTAGTATGGCTTTAAGGCTGCACTGGCTGGCGAGAGGGATTGCTATTCAGGCCTTGGCAATCACACCCTTTCCCACCTCTCCCTGCTCCCTGCTCGCCTGCCCCAGACCCCATCATTACCGCCCAGCAAATGCTTTCACTCGGCGCTGCAATCGCAGGGAAGTGCCTGGGCCAAGGCAGCAGTTACTGGCCGCAGCAGGGTTCACATGTCGGGAGCAGAGAGTGAAATGCAGAAACCCATGTTTTGATAGAACATCATTTCACACTCAAGTGGACAAAGCTGACAAACATATGCAGCTGTTAGTGGCAAAGCAACTTGGAAAGCTGAGGGGTCTGGGATCTCAAAATAGTTTGAGAGAGACTAGGAGTAAGGGATTATTCCAATCTAAAACCTCCTAGTAATTGCAGCTCCGCGCTTTCCTCATCACCTGCCACCAATCAGGGATCGTCTCTACCCTCAAAGCATCTCAGACTCCCCCGCCCCTCGAGGCCTCCACTAGCCATTCCAGTCGCTTACCAAGAATACGGTGACGGCCTCGAACGGACTTTCCTGTTCCCTTCTCTGCCCGGCCCTCTGTTTCTCAGCCCCAGCACCGTGGCACCACCGGGAAGAAGCCCCCAGGCTCCAACTGCTCTGCTCAGCGTGGCCCCAGTGCGTCTTTCCCGCAGAGGCTCTGTGCGGCAGGACATGCCAGGCTGGACACTGTGGCCGCTCTGAGCCCCAGAGTTTCACAAAACCACGCAGCCCCCTCAAACATTTTGTAAGCTGACACAAAATTTTTCTCAATAAATTTAATAGTTACAGAGGATATAATTACCAGAACATTGTGAATACTAACTTTTGAAATAAAACTCTTACATTTTTTTTTTGTAATGCACCCAATGGAATCTATATGCCATACTGACTCGATAGTCATCATCATTCATTTAAATAACACATAAACATACTCTTCAATTTGGAAATTTTACAGCATCCTCTCCTTTTTAAACTCGTATTTCCATTTGATTCTTCCCTACAGATTTTTGTCCTAATTGTTTTATGCTTGAAAGTCTTTTATTGATCACCCTATTAATACTTCTTGGCCACAAAAAACAAGTATGTAAATTGAAACACATTTTGAAATTTCAGAAGTTGAAATGAAAGTATTAAAAAAATTTTTTTTAATGTTTATCCATTTTTTGAGAGACAGCGAGAGACCGAGCACAAGCAGGGGAGGGGCAGAGAGAGAGAGAGAGGGAGACACAGAACCCGAAGCAGGTTCCAGGCTCCGAGCTGTCAGCACAGAACCTGACACAGGTCTCGAAAGCACGAACCGTGAGATCATGACCTGAGCCGAAGTCCGACTGAGCCACCCGGGTGGCCCCTGAAATGAAAATGTTTTAATTTCTTGACACCATAAGGCTCTAGGTAATTAAAAAGTACTTCTGGATTGTGTTATTATTACATAATTATTATGATAAAATCGACATATACCATGGTATAATAAAACGTAATTTTGGTGAACATTTAATACACGTAAATACGTAAAATGTTACTGGAACTGCATGCCGTCATGATATGGATGAGGCTTTTCATGTACCCGTGGTGAACAGCATTTAGTGCCAGAATGAAAGAGTGCTCAGCATCCAGTCTATCCCTGCTTGTTGGTTTTTGCAGACACAAGTAAGGAGAAAAGTCACGTGAACAAGTAGATGGGCATCAGAGAGTTTCGTTACAGCAAGGTCACCCAATTCTTTCAATTTCTTCTGAATTACATGCTCCCCCCCCCCAAATCACATAGTGATCTACCACCAAAAACTGGTTTTAATGATCTGCGAGCTGACAGCTCAATTAGGTTCTCTTGCAATTTTGTTGAAAATAAAGATCTGGGACCATCTGACCCACAGGGACTGGTTACCCAGGCCTAGTGGCCTCTGTTCTCCATCCCACACCAGTACGGAGCCGTGCTCTTGCTAGGGGGCCTGGAGTGGGCAGAAAGCCTCCTCCTCAGAGAGGAGGGGCTCGGGCAGGCTGTGTGTCAGGTGAGGGAGACCCACAGCCCCTGCTCAGGTGCACTCCCAAGCAGCCCCATTTCGGGAAAGAGCACACATCTGGAAATCGATTCCCAAAAAATGCGCGTCTACTTTCCCCTTGGGGAGTCTCTGCGCACCCCAGTGTGAAGACTCAGGGGCGGGGAAGCGCTGCGTACTTCCCCCAAACCCAGACAGGCGTGTGATGTGGTGCCAGTGCTGGGGGGAAGATAAAAGCATCTGAAAAGGAACATGTCCACATCCCCTTTCCCCATCCCAAGGAAAACAAAACTAAAAATAAAACTAGGTAATAAAAAGGCACCATGGGACAGAGGGTCAGACTGCCTTCTGCTGCATGGAACATTTTTCCCTGCAGCATCTTTCCTAACCAGGATTTAGCCATGCAGAGAAGCTAAACTATCAATCCTTCAGGTTAACCTTGTCTCCATCTGATTCTCTAGGGTAAGTGTATAGTTTAATACTTGAGGTCCCCTTAAGGCTATGCATAATGAACTTGGTTTAAAAAAAAAAAAAAAAACCACGTAATTCCTGCTCCCTATCACTTCAAGAATCAAGATTTGAATCACTGAGCTGCACCGCCTTCCCCTCTTTGTTCCCTTCCCCCCACACTCCCAGCCTCAGTGGCCAGTGGGAACGTCCACTGTGGAAAATGTATTAATGTTCGTGTCATGCAGGAGAATAACCCACGGAGTAATTAACAAGACTTGGACCTAAGGTAGAAGGTCGATAGCAGGGGCTCTTCCTTGAATTAAAATTTAACTTACCCTTTATTGCAACCTACAAAAGCAAGTAATGAGCACTAACATTTTTATTTCTTTTAAACTGTCATTTAGGCTGTAGAGGGGATAATTACCTATCTCTAGTGTAGTAAGGTTTTATAACCCTTAGTGAGGCATTTTCTAATTTAATATTTTTACTATATTATCATAAAACCTGTTTCTGGAAAAAAAATGATCATGGATTAGCAGCCATTTTCC